ATGGTAATCTCATCTTTACTAACTACTGGAGTGGGATTGTGATTATACCATTTTTCTTCCACTGCGATCCCAAAGCTTATACAGATGGCATGATGCAAGTATATGCATATTTTATTATGTCGGACCAAGTACTCGTGCTTCGCCAGTTGAGGACAGCCGGATATAAGATGATCTATTGTTTCTGAGTATTGTTTGCACATTCGACATCTATCATTTGCTGTTATTTTGAGGATATGTTTCTCATAATGTCTTGTACGTAAGGCCTGGTCTTGGGCGGCCGTTATCAGGGCCTCTGTTTCACCTTTTACCTTCCCTCTCGTGAGCCACGCAAACGTTTGGCATTCATTAATCCCTGGCCTCTTAATTCTCTTCACGTATTGACCATGAAGCTGCTTTCGTATCCATTTATCCTTCAAGGTATTCCTTGTCATGGCCTTAATATCTGTAGACAGTAATTCTTCTTCATCCTCGACCGCTTGATTTTCTATTTCCGGTAAATGTGTCTTTACAATTTTTATCGCTGACTTGACTACTGACTTTCCAACTCGAGGGTGCCTTTCACATCTCCAAATTTGTCTAACTAACTTATCATTTCTACGGCTTCTTAAATAATTGGCTATGGATACAACTGTATTATCATAAGTCATCTCTAATTGCCTGAGTCCTCTACCTCCTTCTTTACGACTCACATATAGCCTGTCTACATCAGCTCTAGGATGCAGCTGTCCATGAATAGTAAGCATCTTCCTTGTTTTACGATCTAGGTCTGCAATTTCCTTCTGACTCCAATCTATGATTCCAAAACTGTATTCTACTATTGGAACAGCTATACTGTTGATGGCTAGCAGTTTATTTCGTGCTGTTAAGTCTGAACGTAGTACCATCCTAAGCCTCCTTAGATATTCTTTACTGATGGTCTCTTTCATTTCATCATTACACAATTCTGGGTTTTCATAAACTCCAAGATATTTATAGCTTTCTCCAGCATCTAGGTTTTTGATGGTAATATTTGCCTGGACTGTTATGTTTTCCGTTTTTTCCACTTTTCCGTTCTTTATTGTCGCTTTGGCGCACTTATCTAATCCGAAGTTCATATGAATTGTGCTACTGAAGTCGTGAACTATCTTAATTTGCTCTTCAAGCGCTGTGTCCGAACTCGCGTATAGCTTTAAATCATCCATGTACAGAAGATGTGTTGTTGGCTGCTCATCTTTGAGTAGTTTATATCCCAATTTTGGCTTTTGATTTAGCATTCTGGACAGGGGGTACATCATCATGCAGAACAGGAGAGGTGATAGTGAATCTCCTTGGAATATTCCAGATTCGATTTTAATCTGCGGGGTATTATTGATAGGTGCATCCTTAGATTGTATCTTTAGCTGGGTGTTCCATTCCTTCATACTTTTTTCACACAGATTGATGATGTTTGGGTCAATTTTGAATATTTTAAGTATTTTCAATATCCACTGGTGTGGTACGCTATCGTAAGCTTTTTGATAATCTATCCAGCATAATGATAGATTTTTCTTTTTACTGTGTACGTCCTTCATTATCTTTTTGTTATATAATAGTAGATCTTTACATCCGTATGAACCTTTGCAGCATCCTCGTTGCTCAGCTGGAATCAACTGTTGAGCTATTAGGTGGTCATATATACGAGACGACATTATCCCAGTTAGTAATTTGTACAGTACGGATAAACAAGTAATGGGTCTGTAATTTTCTGGCTTAGAAGGGTCTCCTTTCTTGTAAATAAGATACGTGATGCCACTATTCATCCACGTGGGCAGATCTTCTTCTCCTTTTAGTATTTTTGTTAAGATTACCGCTATTGTTTTATGGGTGGCACTTATCTTCTTTAACCAGTAATTATGGATTCTGTCAAGCCCACCGGCTTTCCAGTTGGCAGCTTTACTGAGTACATCCTTTATTTCCTTCTCCGTGATGCTTTCACCCGGTCGTCATGCGTTCTAGGTGCTGATAACTGTCAATAGTTTCCTTCATCCATTCCGTGTTCTCGTCGATAATTTCCTTCCTGCGCCAGATTTCCGACCAATAGTGTACTACATCTGTCTCTCCCGGCACGTCTTGCGGTGTCTCAGCTTTTCCATTAAGTTCTTGGTATAACCTTCTGGTGTCATATTGGAATAAATAATTCTGTCTGCGGAATGCGACTCTTTTATTATATCGCTTTCTACGTTGGGCGTAAGCCTGTATCTTTTGTTTTAGTTGTTCTTCTACTCTTACCCGGTCTTCTAAATTGTTTATGGTGTATCGACATTTCAATTGTTCTAACTTTCTTCTTGTTGCATTTCTCAATTTTGAGTTATCTTCTTCATGGAGGATTGAGAGATCGGATCTGAGTTTTGAGATCTTGGCCTCTATTCGCTTCTCCCAGGGGGCAGAAGTCTCGGTGTATCTATTTTGTAGGTGTCTGATTGGTTCTTCAGTTAATTTTTGATGTGGGCTTACTTTCATTGTTACTATTTTTGCTGTCGCATACAATAGGTGGTTAACCTCCGTAATATTTTCAATCAGTGTTTCTTCCAAGATTTGTGAAACTGCTTCGTTTGCTTGTTTTACTATCATCTTTAGTTTCATGTTATCTTGGAGTTTTGGTAGTTTCAGTCTCTCGTTTATGGGTGAAGATTTCGTAGAAACGTATTCTTCGAGAATCTCCTGTTTGATAGTATTATCTGTTTGATCTTCACTCATATCTTCTGTATCCGGCTCAGTTGTCACTGAGTCCAACTCACGTTGCTCTCTCACTTCGATCCGTATTGCTTCGCTTACTTTACTTTTCATCGCTCTTATCATATTTTCATTAAATTTTCCGCTGTTCAGTAGATATCTGCGCTGCGTTGCGAGCTTCTTGGAATCCATGTACGGTCTGCTATTAGGATTCCTACTTCTCCACATGTTATAAACCTCTGCTTCGCCTATTGATTGCTTTGCATTGGTATAGTGGTAACACCACATCAGTTCGTTAATTTCTTCATAACTCCAAGGCCTTTTAGTAAGTTGATTTATTCGATTCTCCTTAGAGCGTTGTTCAAGTGATGCTGGGCTCTGACCATGTTCATCAGGGTAACCAGCAGCTCTTTCCGGATGGTTTTCTGTGATCGTTATGGTGTTGAGTCCGGTTTGAAGGGTCCTTTGTGTTACTGATCTAGTGGCGTATGTTGCATTTGCCTGTGTTACCACAGCTGCGTAGTCTTGGTTTTGTCCATTCTCGTTCCTTTGTCTATAGCCTAGGGTGCTGTTAATCCGGGAGGATGCGCCACCCATCACACCTTCACTCCCTTCAGGCTGAGCATCACGACGGTTTCCGAAGAAGGGACCAGCCTCAATCACCTTCCCGCCTCGTAGTTTCGTCTTACTTCTCGTATTCATTTACAGTTAATTATTTTTCACATTGCCTCCGAACAATGGTGCAGCTCAGGGTTTGGCAGAATAAGAAGACTACCAAATCCCGAACTCCCCGTCTAGGGCCGTGGGGGCGACGCTCCCCATGTACCTTCCCTTAAGCCCGGGTCGTAGACCCGACCTTAAAAGTAGATACCCCCTGCGGGGTTATTATTATTATTATTATTATATTATTATTATTTATTATTATTATTTTATTATTATTATTATATATTATTATATTATTATTATTTTTTTATTATTTTTATTATTATTATTATTATTATTATTATTATTTTATTATTATTATTATTATTATATTATTATACACAGGCTCGCATCTTAAGGGGGGTCTTCTATGTAACATATTTGAGGGCTTCATTAAAAAGATACGGGGTTGAAGTTTAAAAATAAAAAACAATTTTTCTTAATATCTTGAAAACCGTCAACTGGAATGAACTAAATTTGGTATGTGGATTTACCTAAGCATTGTCCACATTCAAAAATTAACGCGCACTAGTGGCGGAGATACAAGGGATTAGTGGCATTATTTTTCCGAATAAAAATAGTACGCTACTGTTCTTTTTTTCGAAACGCGCAAGTTTTTGAATTTTACCCTCAATTAAGTTTTGTCCTAGAGTGCATTGTTTTTGTAAAAATAAAAAATAAAACAAATTAGATAATCAGAGCTTTATTTCAAAAATATTCAAAAAGACAACCATTCTGATGGATACAAGTGCATCTTTTTAATAAAGAATAAACTATTTCCGAAAAATCTGTTGTGGTTTGAATTTGATGAAACACTTTATCTATTCTTTCTTGTAACTGATCAACAGTATTAAGTTGTTCAGCATATTGCCGAAGTCTTGGAAATGAGCGCGTAAGAACCTTTGGCGTCTGTTAACATTCAAAAATTGAAAAACGAAACTTTTGACTTGACTTTTGCAAAAAAAAAGGTAATAGTAACGATAACAACCGAATAACACATAACTTTGACAACCTATCTCCAAAGAAACGTTATCAAGGCCTCCTATTCTATTTTAAAACTAATTGTATCTCGGCTCTTCATGAATGATATGATTTGTGTTGTTTTTATTTTTACGAAGACAGTGCACTCTAGGAAAAAACACAAGAATTGAAGGGAAAATTCGAAAAATCGCGCGTTTTGGAAAAAAATCAGTGGCGTACTATTTCTATTTGGAAAAATAATGCCACTAATCCCCTGCGTTAATTTTAAGTAAAGACTTTTGAATGTGGACAATACTTGGGTTAATCCACATACCAAATTTTAGTGCATTCCAGTTGATGGTTTTGAAGATATCCAAAAATGTTTAAACTTCAACTTAAACTTCTTTTAATGAAGCCTTCGGTGGAAAAAGTGTTACATAGACCCCCTTAAGATGCGGTCCTGTGTATGATGCTTCCATTCTGGTCATGACTTGTGAATCACCCTATATATAAATTTCGGTCTCACGAAAAGTAGCATCATCACCTGTTTCATTCCCCACAAGCTATTTGGTTAACTCTCAGAAGTTAATGACAGTAGCAATTCATCTTCTTATATATAATTTTCGGAGTCATGAAAAGTAGCATAATCACCTGTTTCGCAGTTCCTCCATGGCTTTGAGTCTGTCATTGGCCAAAGACATCCACCTCACGTTCTCTTCTCTGCTGGATTGAAGTTGGGCTTCCAAGCTTGATATCTTGGTATGCAACTCTGAGGTGTGCTTTTCCAGTGCATGCACCTGTGAAATATACTGTTCCAAAGCAGCTCTATTGGGTTGCTGTTTTGCAAATGTCTCTTTCTGACTAAAAAATAAGATCAAAATAGGCACACGATATATTATCTAACATAACCCTCAAGGGTACCTTTCATTCTTATGCTTTTCCTCCAGAAGGCAGGCTTTCAGCTTTTGTAGCTCTTCTTGCAAACTTGCAGCTGCTAAACTATGCTTGTCTCTGTCGACTTTCAATAGCGTTTGATACTTTATAATTTCTTCATCTTTTGAACTTAGTCTGTCTTGAAGATCCTTTATAGAACCCTGAAGCATGTAGCATGTTAATGAATATCAAAGCGTACATTACTGCAACTAGTTAAATACGATCAGAGCTGATTCGTTGAGTATTGTAATTAAAAACATTTGAGGTTTATATGAAAGGACCTTTCATCAGGACCTTACAACGATCAATATAAAACAATTTCAAAAACGAAAAACCACATATATCTTGACATACCTTCAGCGCTATAAGTTCATTCTGTAATTGAGTTTCGGTGCCAACAGAAATATTGTCACCTCCGGCACCACCACTAGAATTCATTATTTCATCCTTCTTGTTTTGCAATTCCACGATGTGTCTCTCATAAAAACTAATTTGACTTTGCTTGTCTCCGATTTGCTTCCTGAATAGATTAATCGCCATCTCATTCTCACTGGTTATCGTAATAATAGAAATTTATTAATCCTAGAAATATAATCTACGTCCGCGGTTCGTGCGGCCCAACGATATTTGGTTTTTACCCTTTGCTATCAATCGCAGCCTACTAGCTGCTTGAGCTAACTCAGCAGGCGACTGGAGCTCGCGGTAAAAACTCTTGATTATCATTATGTATATTGCTATGCCATAACTCCGCGAGACGTATGATTATCTTTCATTAAACATAAGTTGTTTGGAGAGATTGCTTATTTGTTATTCATTATTATTTATCTTGATAGCGAACCGAAGGGTTCTAAATCATACCCAAATTGAAGAATTTCTTAATGAAAGTGAAGGAATTTCGTTATCAGAATGTGGAATTGAAGTTGAAGACAACGTCTCAGGAGATGACGTGCAGGGTGGTACTGAAGTTAAATTGGTCAAAGAAGCTGAAGATCCATCAAAGTCTGTTCCAAATGATGGTGAAATCATAACGCTAAGTGCCACCTACAAAAAAATATTATTCGTATTGTTCATATGGGTTGGACAGTCAGATGTGTTCAAGAGTTGACCTACTCACGAAACGGCTTGAAGACTTGCAGATTCCAATTCCGATCTCAGAAGATACATTTTGAGCCAGGGATTTTGTGTTAAACTATATACAGGGTGTTCCTTAATGATATGCGAATGTTTAAGGGTGTCAATCTACATGAAAAATTAATGTTAGTTTGCTTTATAAACTATGGTCCAAAAATGTTTCCTTACAAAAACTCGGTGTGCTGAAGTTTCAGGAAAATGGAAATTAATTAATATTTTTACTGATCTTTTTGCCAAATAACATTTTTTGAATTCCTCGTTCAATTTAAAACAAATAACCACTCTTGAATTGTTTCACTTTGATGTGCCATTTTTGACTAAAAAAATAAAAACCGTTCTATTGTCCGAGAAAATTTATGTAATGATTGAAGAATGAATTTAGCAATAAATATCTAGTTGCTCTGGAATATGTCACTGGCCTTTGACATCTGACAAGTCTCTGCTATTCAAATCTGTTCGATGTGACATCTTTTTCATTATTTAGTTTTTACAGTCTTGTTAATAATGGTGAAATATTCAAATGCAGAAATGGCGGAAATGCATTACGTGTATGGCCTTGCCGACGGTTATCACCAGAGATATCCCGATCGAGCTTTGCCAGATAGTCGAACCTTTTCTAATATTCATCGTCATTGAAACTGGTTCTGTCCGAAAAGGAACATCTGAAAGTAGACTTCTTGTGTGAGAACACCTAAAATTGAGGAAGCAGTGCTGTCGAAGAACATCCTGAAACGAGTACGAGGAAGATCGCTAGACACTTAAATATTGCCACCAAATTGTTTGGAGAATTTTAGTGGATTTTTTGTTATATCCTTAACATATTGTAAGAGTACAGGCATTACTTCCCATTGATTTTCCAAGGCGTGTGACCTTTTGTCAGTGGTATCTTCAAAACATTACACAGAATCCGTAATTTGAATCGATGATTCTGTTCACGGGCGAAGCTAATTTTTCTCGAAATGCCATTCAGAATTTCCACAATAATCATTTGTGGGCGGAATAAAATCCCTATGTCGTAACCGAAACCCATTTTCCAACACCAATTTTCGGTTAACGTATGGGCAGGAATTATTGGCAACCACTTTATTGGCCCATTCTTCTTGCCGGGACGACTTGACGGACAGACTCACCTGAATTTTCTTCAACAACAGTTGCCTTTGCTGCTTGATGATGTTCCGTTAGTAATAAAAACAATATGTGGTACATGCATGATGGTGCACCAGAGCATTTCAGTGTAGCGGTTCGTGATTATTTACAAACTCTTTATCCAAATCGTTGGTTTGTCCGCGGTGGGCCCCAAGAATCGCCACCAAGGTCCCCAGACTCCAACAGTTTAGATTTATTTTGTGGGGCTATCTTAAGACACTAGTGTACACAAGTCCCATTAATACTGTAGAAGAATTAAGAGAAAGAATAGTTGCAGCTTGTGATAGAATAAAAAACACTCTAAGGATATTCAACGAGTGTGCAATTACATAAGAAGGAGAGGGGAAGCATGCATACTAAGTGAAGGGGGCCATTTTAAACAATTTTTGTAATTATTTCGTTGGTTTTAATGTTATGTTTATGTTGTCAGTTGTTGTTGTTCATTTCCCCTAATGTTTTTAATTTTTCCAATTAAATTAATAAGAATTTTGCAAGTTAGACGATAGAACCGTTTTTATTTTTTTACTCAAAAATGGCGCATCTAAGGAAAACAATCCAAAAGAAATCATTTGTTTTATTTGAACGGGGAATTCAAAAAAATTTTTATTTGGCCAAAAACTATTGGCGTATCATTTTTTGTTTTAAAAAATGTGCAACTTTATTAACTTTCATTACGCACTAAATATCAGTGAAATATCTGAAGCGGTTCTGAAAATATTAATAAATTTCCATTCTTTTCCTAAAACGTCAACATCCCGAGCTTTGTAAGGAAACATTTTTGGACCATAGTTTATAAAGCGAACTAACATTAATTTTTCATGTAGATTCACACCCTTAAATATCGCATATCAATAAGGAACACCCTGTATACTCAGTGACACTAGGAGTGTTACCCCATAATAAAATAATTGCTACAAACTTGATTTTTTGGCAATGAGGGGTAGCCTTACATCCAGAATGAAACGATAACATTCTCCACAAAATTTTATTGACAAGCAATAAGGAATAAATTAATGTGTTGGGCGACCCTCGGAGTTGCTGCTGCTCCTGTATACGTCTAGATATATCAACAAAATGAGAAGTCTGGATTGGCATCTCATTCCAAGCAAACTCGAACTTCGAGGATTAGCTGTGGCAGAGTTGTGGCGATGGTGCAAAGTGAATGGTCGCCTCCCCATCATATCCCACACATGTTCGATGGGATTTAAATCCGGTGAGCGGAGTGGCCACGGCAAAATATTAACGCCCTGCTTGCTGAAGAAGAGTCCTTAGTAAGACAGACAATATGGGGACGTGCGTCGTCTTGCTGAAAAGGGACGTGTGGACGGCCACTAGGTACGGCAGTAAGTAAGTAGTTGTTGGACATTGCCTTGAGCAAAGAGAACAGGTGATCGGCTACAAAGGCAATAGCCTCCCAAACCATTATCCAACTGTCCTGTGTTCATGCTTCTCAACAGCATATCCAATATCACGCCGTTCTCCACGGCGGGCGTCTTACACTTCTACGGCCGTCGTGCGTTCCAAGACAGAATCGCGATTCTCGGTGAAGATGACATTTATGCCATCCTGCCTTCCAATGTGTGCCGTTGTCGGCTCCACTTCAAACGTGGACGGTATGAAAAAAGTCCAAAGGCTCGAATGTACGAATAGTAACAGGTCGACCTTCTTCTGCAAGCCATTGGTCAGCGACCTCACGCGTAGTAGCAAAACGGTCTCGTAGGGCTAGTTGTCTGAAGCGCCTATCAGTTGGCCTTCTGCGAGTTCCTCTACCTTCTTTTATCCACACACGACACACATGCATTACGTCATTGCAGTACAACTAACACGGCGGCCAATTTCGCGATGGGACAAACTAACATCTCGATAGGCAATAATTCTACTCCTGCCCAAATTTGGACATCTTCTCGAGCCACTTTGTTATGCTTAACACTAGTAAATGAAAGGGCAATAACTAAAATATCTCTACTACTCAACTCTCAGGAACTGCCTTCAGCACAAAAACTAAGAGATAGATTTTGACAACGGTAAACAAAATCAAAGGTAAAACGTTGACATTGTTGCCATAGCATGCTTTAAATGTAATCATTATGTTGCCAAAAATCCAGTTGAAGGAATTATTTTTTCTGGATAACACTTCTAATGTCACTGAGTATATGTACGCACCGAATTGGTGCAAGACAAAATAGGTAGCTTGCATCGCTGGGGAGCTGGATTATTCAATAACCAGTATGTCGGATAGTACAGTGTTAGTACAATGGGACGACAAACAAGTCAAGTGTGGCTTGAGCTTTGCCTCTCCACTACCACTACTACTACTCATATCGTTCATCCAAAATCAGCAGAATCTCTAAGTTACCATGCATGAAGTGGAAAAGGCCTGTTGTGGAGAACATAAAAATGACTTGAGCACTTTACATCGAAATTAAAAGTATTAATGGTAAGTTAAATGAAGTTAAAATGTGCCAAATATTCAGATATGAGAAGACTAGAAGTCATTTCAAATGTTTAGTTTATAAAATAAACTGTCTTGTGTTAATTACAATGAAGCTCTACAATTTTAGTTTGTCATTTGGAAATAAAAGTTTAACTTCTAATGCCTAAATTGTCGTCTAATTCTTGAAGTAGTATTTAAACAGTTATTTTAAAATTGTAATGTACGTAAATGATCTGAATTACAAAGCTTGATTATTTCAAATAAATATGTCTGCTGGACGTATGATTACACTGATAACACAGGATTTTGTGACATGAGAGTTTTGGGTGTACCTTATGTATTTTGAGACCCTCAAAACAATCTAAAAACAGAATCTTTCTATCACAAACAGATATTCGGTAACATCTACTTTCATGAATTACAATACCTAACATCTCATATTCCCTGCATTTCTTGGCATTTATGCGATGACACACATATACAATATTAAGACCTGTCTATTCCTGTTTATTACAGGTATATGCGAGCTCGATGTTTAGAGACCATATTGCGTTTTCTGAATTGAAGGGTACTGAGATGTTCTGAGTACTGTCAATTTTGTTAAAACGGTAAAAAAAATCCCAAAAACGTACTTTTACTCCCCTTGTGTTGAATGCATACGAACTTTATTTTGGAATCAAATTTGGCGACCAAGATAAACTATGGGCCCCTCATATATGTTGTAAGACTTGTGTAACGTTGTTAACAGGTTGGCTAGAGGCGGACAATCGTAAAATGTCCTTTCCGGTACCATGGTTTGGAGAGAACTGAGAGACCATACTACTGTTGATATTTTTGCCTCACAAATATTAAGGTATCGGACCAAAATCGAAACATACTGTTAAGTGTTTAATTTACCATCAGCTTTGCGGCCCGTTAAGCATAGTGATGGACTTCTGTCCCAGTTCCACCAGAACCTTGGTCTTTGGATGAAAACGTCGAATCCACCGATTCTGAAAGTGATGGTACAGAAAGCGAAAAAAATTCCGATCCTTCGTTTGACGTGCCAGAATGTCAACAGCGCCGCATTTGATCACACAGGGCGAGCTTAATGACTTAGTTCGAGAATTAAATCTGTCAAAATCCCAGTCAGAACTTTTAGTGTCAAAATTAAAAAGATGGAATTTTCACCACGGTGATGTTAAAATTACTTTTTACCGAGTTGATAATTCTCCGATGCCAACAATATGTTTGAAGCTTAGTTTAAAAGCGATATTGGTACACAACGGTAATAAACATCCATCTGTACCTATAGCGCACGCAGATCATATGAAGGAATCATATGAAAATATTGGAGTTCTGTTAGAGCATATACTAATGAGTATGGGTGGGCCATATGTGCAGATTTAAAGGTATTAGATCTTCTTCTTGGAATGCAACTGGGATATACCAAATATTGTTGTTTTCTTTATGAATGGGACAGTCGTGCGCGATATCATCATTATGAACAGCAGGAGTGGCCACTACGTCAGGTATTAACTTCGGGACTCAAAAACATTGTTCATGAGCCACTACTTGATCCCAAAAAAGTATTGCTTCCGCCTTTGCATATTAAGTTGGGACTGATGACAAGTTTTGTTAAAGCTATGGATCGAAATGGAAGAGGTTTCATTCATTTGAATCAAACATTACCGAGACTTAGTGAGGAAAAAATTAAAGAGGGCATATTTGTGGGTCCACAAATATGAAAAATCATGAAGGGTATTTCAGTATTTGAGTATTTGACATTTGCTCTAAATGAAACTGAATTACGAGCTTGGAATGCATTTAAATCGGTTACTGCAAATTTGTGAAGCAACGGGATGTAACATGTCTCTAGAAACTCATTTTTGGATTGTCATCTCGATTTTTTCCGGAAAATTTAGATGCGGTAAGTGATGAACATGCTGAACGGTTCGACCAAAACGTTTCTGCTATGGAAAAACGGTATCAAGGCAAATGGAGCGTCAAATTGCTTGCTCGTTATTGCTGGACATTGTTAAGAGATACTTCAGGAGCAACATATCTCCGTAAAACATCGACAGCACTCTGAGATTAATTATTTATAGTATAAGCAGCAAACAAAATGCCTTATTGCAATAAAATCGTGGGTGATATAAAAAAACGAATGCTATTTCCGGCATTTTGGGTACTTTTTACATAATACCTTGGTTTGTCCATGTCACAAAAAAATTATTTTAATTTTGTTCACCAGTGTTATTTATCCAGTTATTAAATGATTATCTCTCTAGGGTTAAGGATAACAAATAATCTTATGAATAGTCAAAGATCGATAGCTGCACAAAGAATCCATTAATGGTCAAAGCCAGCAAACCTTCTGATTGCAGTAGCATTAGCGATAAGTTAAAATCAAAGCAACTAACCATATATGAAGCATCTGGAGTAAGTGCTTAATGTCACACATTCAATAATTAATAATACCAATCATGGACTCACTTCATCTTACTCTTCAGCTGATCAATAACGTGTTCTTTCTCTTTCAAAACCTCCTGCGCTCTCAGCAAATCACACTTAATGTTAACCAGCTCTTGTTTGTTATCCTTAACCGGAATCACTTCTAGATCTGTTTGTGTCTCAACAGATCTACTGTTTATTTTTGAGTATGTCTGATAAGCAGATTTCGTTTCTGGCTCTGTCAGAGCTTCTTTAGACACTGTATTAGTATCAACGGATTTGTGCAAAAGTAGCACATCTTCATCCAGTTTTGCAATTTGTTCATCTTGAATCTTTATCCTTTCTAAGAAATGCTGTATTTGAGACTCTTTAAATTCGGATTGGCGTTTATAGCGAAGTTCCTAGAAAATAAGAAAATACCTCTTGAAGAGGATGATCGAACAAAAAAAAAAGAGATGCTGAAGTACGCTGCTGTCAATTTATATCAGTTTTTCGAAAATATGCCCTTGCTGGAACTTCATTCTAAATTCATAATAATAATGTTGGAATGATATTGCTTTACCTAAAACTCTCCCTCACCGGGATGCCATGGCGACGGAGTCAGTTTTGCAGCCATGGCCACTTCTGGATTCGATGGAGTAGCCACAGAGAGCTAACAGTGACAGAGTGATGACCTCATTTTCGTCGTTTCAGAATGAAATTAGAAAAGGTCATGACAATTTATCATCTCATAGAGTAGAACATAATGAAGGAAACCAAAACGAAGAAACTTCGGGTGCATTCCTTCATCTCTGATAAAGACCGAGACAATTTTTTCAAATGCGACAAACACACATGATTTTTACATGTTTTCAAATGTTGCGATCATAGCCGCGATGACATCGATGACACTTCACAAATGTCACTAATATGACTCACTAACAAGTATTTTAATGACGTAGTTTATTGGCAACGTTGTAATCTCAGAGTCGCCAGCACGTAGCCATCGCCTCCCGGTGAAAGACGAGCTCTTACGCTAATTTGTAAATTTTTCTTTTCCTGCATCCACGTGATGGCCTCTTGATACTCCTTTTTATGTATTCCTGAAAGTAATTCTCTCCTTTTTTTAAATAATCCAAATCTAAGTTCAGTTTTTCTTTGAACACCTGTGCTTCATTTTCCAAACTTCTAGCTCTATGGAGAGCGAGGAAAGCTTCGTGTTTTTCTCTATTTATGATCCTCAGATTGCTGATGTAAGCTTCTTCCGATCTTAGAGGAACACAGCCCAGATACTGTATTTTCTGCATCTTCAATAGGTTCTGCAGGTGTCTATAGACAAAAATAATATCCTTATAAATTGAGAATAAAATTTCATTCAGCTAGTTAGAATTTTAATTAGGCCAATTAAAAAAATAACTATCTGACAGCTGACAATTTTAATTAATTCAGTTAAACTCTGGTTTCTAAAAGAGTTTACTGGAATCTATGAAACTAGTTTAATTAAGCCAAAACGCATTTGTTCAGTTAAATTTAGTAAACCGTTTACTCAGATTGAGTACACCACTTCATTTAAAATTAGAGAAATATTAAAATGAGGTTACCTGCTCAAGTAAAACAATTTAGATATATTTATTAAATTTCTTTAATCAGATTAGGTAAATATATTTGCCCAGTTACTATGAATTATTTATTTCGATTTAAAAGCATAACTGAATATTTGGGATGTAAAAGAACAAATTGCGTTTTAACTGAATGATGCATAACTGTGCTCTAACAAAACTTAGACATCAAAAAACTTGAGATACTTGATATTGATAGTTAATGTTTTCGAATCAAAGTAAAAACTTTCGAACGTTATAACCGTAACAACTTATATATATGATAGTCATTATTTCAATGGTTGATAGAGGGGGTTAAAAGACGCAAAAAGTTTCATATAACATGGGGGTCAAACCGAGGTCAATCCATCGGATTGAGATCAGAAGATCTTGCTGGCCATTTTCGAGGATCAGGATCCAGCGACTTGGATAATGTGTAAATGTGTGGTGGTGGTGCCCCGTCATGAAGAAACCACAAATTTTGTCTTCGTTGTAATGGTATATTGTCTAAGGTCTGTTGCAAAGGTTCTGGTAGGTTATTGGCTAGAAAGCTAAGGTATCCTACTCCTGAGAACTTTGGGGGTAACTCGGAAGGGCCAGTTACCTGATCGTGAAGAATACCCTCCCAAACATGTATTTCAAAACGTTGTTGGAAATGACCTTGACGAATGGTATGAGAATTTTGTTGGGCCCACATGGGAGTATTATGTAAATTTAATATCCCGTCTCGCGTAAAAGTACATTCGTCCCTCGCTAGAATGTTTTTAGAAAAATCCGGATTTTCAATGTTTTTGTGCAAAAACTACTGACATAATGTTTGTCTGCGAGGATAGTCTTTTGGTAACAAGGCCTGCACTCGTTATACATGGTAAGATAACGCAAATTTTCCCGTAGGATTCTTTGGACTATGGTTTGCGATAGTCCTACGCGGCTGCCTTATTCCCGAGTCCTATATCTGCATTGATTTCCACGATATTTAAAATTTGTTCCTCCTGCTCTAGAGTAACTTGTCTTTCACGAGTGCGAATATTAGTGGGCTAAACACTTCCTGTGTCTCGAAGTCTTTGGTACACTTGCACAAATGTCCTTCTGTCTGGGTGTACCCGTTGGCGAAATCTGTCGCGATAAATTTGAGCTGCAAGACTTGAATTCTGACGAGCTTCACCGCAAACTAACAACATGTCGGTGAAATCTTGATTCGAGAACATTGTAAAAATAAACACGACGATGTACGCGAACAAAAACAAAACAACATACTAACCACAGTTACCGTTTGCGATCGATTGCCGGTTCGATAAGAGTGATGAAAAACCGACGCGCTGTTGTCATGTGTGTTTTAAATATTCCATTTAATGAAATTTACTTACTTACTGACTACAAATTTTAGCTTAACTTAGAAAAACTTAATGCCACTTATTTGTTAATTACTCAACTTAAAAACGTTTTAGATTAGATTATAAAAATTAGTAAGATTGTGGTGATTGTGGTCGATATAAAGCACTTAAAGTTGTAAACTATAAAGCCATTTAGACAAAAATCTATTGACTTTTAGACCATGGGTCATATGAACTTTTTGACTAGCTTTGACCCTTCTTACCCATTTCAATAATGACTACCATAACGTTTACACCCTGTATATCACCATTCACTAGAAGCAATTATTTGTTTTAAATTCATAAAGTAAGGAAAGTGATTGATACCTGACAATGAATAAGGTCACTTGGTCATGTGTACAGAAATTGTATACATCGCCTATGTTTGGTATATCAATTGTCCACCGGAGTGTGCTAGATATACAGGGTATCCAATAAGTACCACGAAAAACTTAAGGAGAAGGTAGGCTGTGGACTGACCTCCCAAATAACAAAAACTTACTTATATAAAAGTGTCACCGTTTTTGAGATATTGAATTCATTCTTAAATTTTAAAAAAACGAACCTTCTCATCTCTGGTCTTTAGCTGCATGTACAAGGTTATACTTTTTTCATTTTGTTCTATATAATACTTCTAGATAGTTGCTTTATCATAAACAAATGCAATGTAGTTAAAAGATATTGAGGGACCATGATAAAATAAGGGCAGTTTTGGGATGTATAACCGTCTGATATTTTTCCTCAACTTTCATAAAATCATATCAGGAGCAGGTAATAATAATGTAGCTATTCTACTATTTAGCATGTCACTGATCGGTAACCAGTGCAACTTGAATTTAAATCCAATAATTACACTGTAGTGTGTGTCAGTCACTTACAAAAACAGCTATCACTTTTTTCTGTTCCAAATAGCACGTGCGGTGCATTTCTGAAATCTGTATTCAATGAGCAATTTTTATTCAATATAATGCAGTTATAGTCCAGGACATTTTTGTTTCACCACAGATGGTCAAAGTTGAGGAAAAAATATCAGAAGGTTATAAATCCCAAAATAGCCCTTATTTGATCATGGTTTCTTAATAGCTTTTAACTAAATTGCATTTGTATATGATAAAGCAACTATCTAGAAGTATTTTATAGAAAAAATGAACAAAGCATAACCTTATTTGTACATGCAGCTAAAGACACAGATGAAAAGGTTCGTTTTTTTAAATTTAAGAAAAAATTCATTATCTCAAAAACGGTGACCCTTTTATAGGTAAGCTTTTGTTATTTGGGAGGTCAGTAGTTCAAAGCCTACCTTCTCCTTAAGGTTGTCGTGGCACTTATTGGACACAATGTATATATATTATATATATATATATATATATATACGCGAGCAGTAGTAATTGCCATTGCAATCTCAAGCTTTCCGCATTCTCTATGGAGCCTTCTTCAGGAGTCGTCGTTGAGGTTGCAGCCAAATGGTGTTTCAAAACGAACGCGGGGATGAGAGCACTTATTACAAATATAAAACCAAACGGACGGAGACATTGGGTTTATTGATAATGACGGAAACCATCTTAGGTGTTAACACTAACATATATCAATACACCGAACACATTGAAAATTAACGAAAAGCAATTTTGGGGACAAAAACCGGAACATTCCTTCTAACCTCCTACATCTGCTTGCCGAAAGCTTGAGATTACCGTTAATAGAATTTACTAAGGCCTACAAAGTTTGTCAATTTCCCAACTAACAATTAATTGTATATACATATATATATATATATATATTCTTTGACCTCAGTAAGTGAATTTCAAAGTTCTTTACATACCGCAACGTCAGCAGTACCCCCCCATACAGGGTGTCCCGAAAAAAGTGTGCAATATTCTACCAGCGGTTTCCTATCATGTGACAAATTTTTTTAGTTTGATTTTATTCAAAAATGGCACGATTTATCAATATTCAATAATAGTACCTTTTTATGTACCATAGATTTTCAAATTCTAAAATTGAATTTCAAAATAGAATCACACAAAA